GGCAAATGCCTTAACCCCAACGGGACAGCGCCTCACAGAGCTGGGCCTGATGCCCGGGCCAGACCTGCATAAGTCCCGTAACCCCAGCTATGGCCTGTCTCTTATACACATCTAGATGTGTATAAGAGACAGCTTCCTCTCTGCTTTTGCTCCTCCCTTTCTCTGTCATTCGAACCCTCCCTCTTCTCCGCCTGTTGCTGGTCTGTCCACCCGTGTGCCCACCCGCCTGTCGTTCTGTCCGTCCATTGATCCGTATAGCCATCTGTTTGGCAGTCCATCTGTCCGTCTCGCCGACTGCCTGCATGCCCACCCGCTGACTGTCTGTCCATTTGTTTTTCTGTCACTCTGTTCATCCATCCTTCGGTTCGTTCCTCCCTCCGTCCCTCACTCCTTTACCTTCCCTAGTCTTCCTGCCTCTCTTCCTCCCTTCCTGCACCCCTCCCTCCCCTCTTTCGTTCAGTTCATTCATCGGTCTGTCTGTATGTCCCTCCATCACTCCTGTCTGCTGATAGATGTCCAGAAGGTAATAATGGTCCAAGGACAGCATGTAGACAGGCAGAGCTCTAGGTTCAGGGCTTGTAGGTAGATAGCACTCTGCAACCATGTCCCCACCAAAAGCAGGACACCCGGTAGCCTTGTGCATCCAAGAGACGCCGGGCAGAGGCAGGTAGTGCCCGGGCAAGAGGTCATTTGGTGCAATGAGCAATGCACTCATTTACGAAGCGGTCATGCTGCTGCTCTGCCCAGAGGCAGAGGTGGAGCTCCTGGAGGTGAAGGAGAATACCTCGATGGCTCTGGAGGCATAGTAGCGAGAGGTAGGAGAAGCCCTAGGCTATGGAGGTAAAGACCTTCCAGCCGTGCTATGGTGATGGACAGAGGTTGAAGGAGGAGGAAGGAGGTGAGACCGGTCGGCCCTACTGGTCGGCTGCAATACGGTCGGCGGTCGGCAGGGATGCAACCCCACTGCAGTAGTCTGTAATTTTCTTTGCTTGGACTGGCAGGCACTGTTACGGCTCTGGGCCTCGTTAGGCATGGCAGGCGGGCCTGGATGTGGTGGTGGTTGTTACAGTACGTGTTGTCCTACTGCATACTGTCCATGTCCAGGGGGGATGGTGTCTACTTGCGTCTGTTCATGCTTTCGAAAGGGAGCACAACCATTAGAATGGCGATTGGATGAGATTGTTGTTATTGTCAACTCTGTCTCCAACAATGTTTGAGCTCCGAATGTAATCTAGTTGAATGTACTCCGATGATTCGGTCTAAAAGAATTTCGAACAAATGTGCAGCAATTGATTCCTTTTCTAGTTTTACTGAATGACAAGTGGGGTCACCTTGTAGACCTGGTTTATTGGACTGTTACTGATCTGTGTTTGAGCTGTTGGGCTTGTGTTTGCACTTTTCTGGGGGTATTGTTGCAAAAAGACAGGTGCTTGATGCAGGGAGCAGGCTTGTGTTGCGGCAGCTAAAGGGTCATAGCAGGTAAGTAGCCTGTCTTTTCAGCTTATCAGTTAAACAAAAAACAGAGGTGTTTAAGTGCTTTTGCCAGGTATTGCATAGTCGATTGATGGATATGTCACTGTCCTTTTGTCGGCTGGGTGAGATAAACAGCCATCAATAGGAGGAGGAGACAAAATCTGGGATGGAGAGGAGAGGAGGCGAGAGGAAGGGAAGGGAGTGGAAGGGAGAGGAAGGGAGAGGAGGGGAGAGGGAGGGGGGAGAGAGGGGAGAGGGGGAGGAGAGAGGGGATGGAGAAGAGGTTAGAGGAAGGGGAAGACAAGATGGTGGGGATGGGGAGTGAATGGTAGAGTAAGGGTAAGGGATGTCGAGAGGGATAGTAGGGGTGGGGATTGGAGGATGGTTGGATGGGTTGGTCAGGTGGCTTTCCAATGGATATGTTGCTTTTGGTAGATGAATTCCTGGGTAAGGTTGCATTCATCCAGCATCATTATTAACAGTCACAGGTGTGCACCATCTAGCGACATGGGTGGGGTTGGTTAGATGTTTGTGAAGAGCAATGAAGTGCAAGGAACCACGCAACGAGAACACTAATTTTCCAGCATGCAAAATCTCATAAAAGATCGATCATGATTGAGACGAGTTGAAAGCGGAGTACGAAAGCTGAATGTGCACCAATTAGGAGCAGAAACAAAACATTGAAGTCTCTTGATAAAGGAAGTCCGACTTCCTCACCTCCAATCGTCAGTGCAACGGCAATGTAGTAGCCCCGCCGTGATGTAACTTCCCTACTCTACTTCCCACGGCATTCACACACGCTAGCCTGTATTCCACCTCACTGTCTCTCCACGTGTCACTCGCCCAATGCTGCTTGAAGACTCTGGTCACACAGGCTTCCTCCACCAACACCAGGTAAGAACTGGCGGTCCCCACTTCCTTCCTTGTTCCCGACTTGTCCACACTCTGCCACCCTGCTTCCTGTGCCCAGCTATGGCCGGTGCACACTCACAGTCACAGCAGCTGCTCTCTTCCTCGGGCGTCACTCTCTGGTTACTACGGTAAGCATCAGCACTGCCGCCGTGCAGCAATCTGCTTGAATCTGTTCCCGCAGGTAGCCTTCTTGCTTTTGTCCTGTCGTGGAGACTGCGTTCAGGCCCAGTAAGCAGTGCCTGCGGCCTACTGGGGCTGAGTATGAGTCCCCGCCTCTGTACCTAACTTGGAGGCCGAGCCTGCCGGTTGGTTACAGGAGCTGGCGCCTGAGTCCAGGCCCAAAAGACTCCTCATGGCCTTCACTTAAGGGTGGCAACATTTTCTCAGGCCCACCTTCGCTTAGTCTCCTGGACCATTTTTCAGCAGCAGTTCGGAAGGGCTGCAGAGGGCTGGAGCCTCGCAAGGACGGTGTTCTTTTATTTTTTTTTCCGTGACAAGAAAACTTAACCTCAGGGTCAAGGCCCCTTTCCAGTCTCCGGAGTGTCAGTTCGACGACTCTGCCACTTGCAGCAACATGAGAGACCTTTGGCCAGTCCTGAATGGCCAGAGACTACCATAGTATCCTTTGGACCGAAGTACCTTTTGGGCCGAAGGGCCGATAAGAGTTGAAAACAGTTGCGAGGTACCACATCAAGTGGCACAGTCATTCATCTCCACATCCCGCCTCGCAGACCCTTGGCCATTTTGGAATGTCTCCTCTGGCCATTTTTCTTCATCCCTCACTTGTTATATGCCGGATGCTCATCCTCTTTTTGTCCATATCTGCTCCTTTGCGCACAAGGCAATCCTACTGAAGAGCTCCCATTCATTCCTCAGCTGGTGTGCGCTATTATGGGACCCCTTCTTTCCCTCTGTGATCCCCATGGAAAGAGGTAGGCCTAGGGGAGTCGGAGGTGCGACAGGGAGAATGGACGAAAGGAGAGTTGGTGGGGTCACGTGAGGAATAGGGCCCAAGGCTTTACTATAAATGTCTTACAGTCAGCATTTCACGGTCGCCACCTTCTCATGCATTATGGGACGCCAGGCGAGGACCTTAATGCCCGTCCTCATATTTCTGCATGCATTTTGCACAAACCCGGGCACTATATGGCCCTCTTTCGTGCAGCTGCCCAGTGGGAACTGTGGGACGGTGGGACGGTGATTCAGGTTATTGTCAACATAAATGAATTCTTGCGAGGTTTGTCGAATCATGCACTGTTCTGGATTGTTGAGCGTCTCTCGTGCGACATTTGTCAGGATAGAGACGTGGTGCGTCTTGGTTGTGGAATGCATTATCTGTGTCAGCACCATTATCAATCCATCGCGACTGCCGCCGTATGTGCGGAAGGGTGTYTAACATTTCCTCATTGTGCACATCCCTATCATCCAGATGTACGTTGTCCTGTCTGTTCCCAAGGACGCTATCAGAACTGCATGATGCCGCACTGTGACGAACGTCCTGCTGTTTTCTTGACATGTGGGCAACATGTCCTMTGTCGGGATTGTTTTGATGGGATGGTTCGTGCTAGCCATCCGGCTGAATGCTGTACTAGCGCAACTCTCCTTGGGTATCCCTGTGAACATCCCCGTCATCCTCACCGTAGTTGTCCTATCTGCCGAGGGGGTGACAGATGAAGTGTAGAAGAAGCAGATGAAAAAAGAAACCGAGTAAAAAAAA